GGATAGTAGATATAATGAGGCCTAAAATCAACGCTGTCTGTTTTCCTTTAAAAAGATAAGGAATTTGAATGTGAATTGTAATGTTTTTCTTCAAAGAGGAATAATTGGCCACTTTTTCATTTGATAAAGCTCTTTTTGCTTCCAATATGGACTCAGGCTTTAAATATTAATAAACCTTAACCCTTCATAAATTAATTATCACAACTTTCAAACTTCAATTTTACAAAGCAAATCATAAAAAGCAAACTGGGTTTCCCAAATGATGTCTTCTTCTGGTATTAATTCATATGATTAAATAAAATATTAAGTACATTAAACCGAGTATTAATACTATAACTTAAAGCTCCATATTTCTTGTTACTGGGTCATTTCAACTACACATTTTTGCATTTAATATAATGGCTATAATGATTATTTTTTAAAGATTTTATTTATTTATTTATTTAGAGAGAGGGAAGGGGGAGAGAAAGAGAGGGAGACAAATATTGATGTATGACAGAGCTACATCCATTGGTTACCTCTTGCTGCCCCCCACTGGGCCCACAGCCCAGGCATGTGCCCTGACTGGGAATCAAACTGGCAACCTTTAGGTCTGCAGTCCAGCACTCAATCCACTGAGCCACACCAGCCAGGACTATAATGATTATTTTTAATCAACTTTCACTTTTATCAGTGTTATACTTGAACAGCATAAATGATCAAATATTGCTCAAAGTAATTTTTACAAAAGAGCGGCACCTTCTGCTCACCTTCCCACCCTCATTATCCACCAAGCAACCAATTCCAAGTTTTTAAAAATATTTTATTTATTTATTTTTAGAGAGAGGGGAAGGGAAGGAGAAAGAGAGGGGAGAGAAACATCAGTGTGTGGTTGCCTCTCATGTGTCCCCCACTGGGGACCTGGCCCGCAACCCAGGCGTGTGCCCTGACTGGGAATCAAACCGGTGACCCTTTGCTTCGCAGGCCATGCTCAATCCACTGAGCTATGCCAGCCAGGGCCAATTCCAACTTTTGAGCTATTTTCTCTGATTGTCCTTCCTTATTTCTAAATAATATATATACACATAGGTATATTCTGCTGACCCTTGGAATTCTCTTTGCGTCTCTGGGATCCTCAGTCCCATGTGTCCCAATATCTCCATGTCCTCCTCTGAAGCAGAGCCCTCGTGTGTGAGTGTGAGCGTGCACACACCTGAGTAGACTTTGTGTTGATTTCCAGCCACAGATATTAAGGGTATTAGCTCATTATATGCCCTCTCTGCCTTCCACTATTCTCAATAAAATTACATCTCAAAAAGCTGTTAAATCTATATTCAGTGTTTTCAAAGTTTTGATGCTGTGTGTGTAGTATGTCATTTGCTTGTGAGCCAAATAGAATGATTATATATTCTCTCTTACATAACCTGGTTTTTTTCTGGAGTTAACCATTGCCTCATTTTAAAACATTTTCTTAATTTTCTTTGAACATCTGACTAAATATTCCCACATCCTTGGCGGCTCTGTAAATTAAATTTGATACAAAACATGTTAGATAATTGAAGCCTTATCCAGAGCCTCCTGTTGCAAGCTGGATGGCTCGCCCTGGGCCTCGGGCCCCGCTGCTGGACAGGGACTGCCATTCGCCATCCCCCTGGGAATTTTCTTTGCCTCCGTGGGGTCCTTGGCTTGCAGGTACCCCAAGAGCTCAATGTCCTCCTTCAAAGTGGAGCCCTTTTGTGTGAGTGTGTGTGTGCACGTGAACGTCCTCAAACAGCTCCCTCAGAAAAGAGATGGGGAAGTAGCTTTAGACTTCTTGGTTACAAAATAGCTTTCCCTTGGAAATTGGAAGGTCTAGCTCCATTATTATCTACCTCCCATTCGGGAAATTTGATGCCGTTATTATTCACAATCTCCTGTTCATCACCACTCCTCATCCTTCTGGTCACTCTCACCAAATGCTTTTAGGGGCTTCTCTTCATTCCCAGTGTTTGAAATGCCAAGATAAAGTCTTTTGTTGTTGTTTTTTCCATTGTTTGTTGGGATGTTTGTTTGTTTTTGTTTTTTATTCTTTGGGCTGGATATCCAAAAATCCTTTTTGAGAAGTGGCTCATGTTCTTCAGCTCTTGAAGATTCTTTTACATTATTTTATTAATACTTTTCTCCACCACTGTTTTCTGCTGTTTCTGGAGCTCTTATCACTTAGCCATTAAGCTCCTGCATTGACTAATTTTGTAAATTTTCTCTCTTATTGTCCATTGCCATTTTGCTTTACAATATGGAGTCCCTAACTATTCCATCTACTTTTCTACTGAGTTTTTCATTTCCGCCATCCCAATTTACTTTCCTAGTGTTTTTGTCATTGTTCTCTAAATATTCTTTTTAAATCTGCCATTTTGTTCCTGTTTGATGAGTAATCTGTCCTGTCTTAATTTTCTAAGAACAGTAATGACTCTTTTCTATTTTTCTTCTCTCCCCACAGACTGGGTATCCTCTGATTATCTTTATTTTAAAAAACAGGCTTATTGGGAACATATTTTATATGCCATAAAATCCATGCATTTCAAGTGTCCAGTTCACTGTGTTTAGTATATTTATTGAGTCAGTCAACCGTCACTGCAATTCAGTTCTAGAGTATTCCTAGTCCCCCCAAAAGACCTCTTTTGCCCATTTGCAGGTCCACTCCCCATCCCCAACCTGAGCCCCAGTTTGGCCATAACCTGCTTTCTGTCTCTATCCATTTGCCTTTCCTAAACATTGCATGTAAATAGAATCATATAATCTGTGTTCTCCTGTGTCTGATTCCTTCCTCTTCACGTGATGTCTTTGAAGGTCGTCCCCTTGTACCATGTGTCGGCAGTTCATTCCTTTCCGTTGTCGAAGAGCATTCCATTGTGTCTCTTTTGCTTTGTCATTTACCAGTTGACTAGACATTTGGGTTGTTTACATCTTGGAAAAATTATCAACATATTTTTGTTATTTTAATCTTATTTTGAAGGAGGTGTCTCACATGAGAGGGTTTCCCCAAATGTATGGCACTCTCTGGCAGTCTGCTTATGTTCAGAAAGGAAGGCCAAAGGAGTTATTTGGAAGATGTCTGTGGGGTGGGGGAGAGTGGTAAAGGGTGGGCTTTATTATAATTCTCTTGGGACATCCTTATGTCACTGTTTTTCATCCTTTTCTTTTGGGCTGGTGGAAATTTCCAGAGAACACTCTTCAGTGTTTTCATTTGAGGATATAATCCTAGCTTCCAGTGTCCCACAGTCGAGAGGAAGGAGAAGGCTGAGATGTCACGGGTTTTAGGACATACCCTTTTACTTCATCCTCATTGTCAGTGGAAGACCCCCATCTCCTTCAACTGGGCCTGAGTCCCTGAGGTGAGAGACCCTATGTCTTATTCTCTCCTACTGGGGTGGCTGCAGAGAGCAGAGCAAGAGCTCTGGAGATGCTTCTTAAATAGAAATTCAAACACTCTCTCTAATTTTAGCCCTACCATTACCCGCTCCCCCTCCCCGATTTCCACAGCTGCCTGGTGCCAGTTTCTGTGCTTCTGGGGATCCACAGGATAAAGCAGGTTACCTCTCTGCTTTGCCCACTGCCACTGTGGGATTACTGTTCCAACTACTTCACGGTGTCCAAAACTTTACTGCTATTGTTCTCTTCCCTGGTCTCACTATGGATCTGTGTGCTTCTGTAAAAATCCTTTACTCTCATTTTCATCAGGCACAGAGTATTTATTCAACCAGCCATTTTAATGACAATCTCAATTTAATTCTTAATGAGAAAGGAAGCTTTCAATTCCAAATAGTTTATGTAAATACCTCACTTCCATGGAAGCACAGCACAACCTCAGTGTGTACAGCACATAGTGACTTTCTTACAAGACACAGAGTGGAAAGGTGTGGCCAGGGGGAGGAGCTTTACAGAGAGAAACCTGACGAACAGTATCGCAGCCAGGCGATCAAGGTCAACAGCAACAGTGATAGCGCATACCTTCGTGATCTGCTCCCACACACCTACGACCTCAGTCTAGTCACGAGAGAAATATTCCAGGGGTGTCCTACCTTTTGGCATGTCTGCGCTACACTGTGAAGAGTTGTCTTGGGCTACACATTAAATACACTGTGACATGTGATCACAAAAAATCTCATCACATTTTAAGTGAATTTACAATTTTGTGTCAGGATGCTTCATAGCCATCCTGGGACGCATGCAGCCCACGGGCCACAGGTTGGATACCCCTGCTTAGACAAAGCCCAACTGAGGAAAAAACTACTAAGCACTCGACTAGTACTTCTCAAAACTGCCAAGGTCATTTCTGAAGGAAAGTCTGGAGAACGGTCACAGCCGGGAGGAGCCTAGGGGGACAATGCGTAAAAGTAATGGGGTTACGTAGATGAGACCCTGGAGCCAAAAAATGAACATCAGGCAAAGACTAAGGAAACCTGAACACTGTGCGGACTTCAGTCAGCAGTCCTGTATCCGTATGTTTCATTAACTGTGACAAATGTACTAGTGGGGAAACTGGGTATGGGAAGTCTACCTCCATAACTTTCTTGTAAACCTTTTAAAGTGCTTATTAAAAAAAAATAAACCCTTCTCGCTTATTCTTTGGCTACTTACTGACATCTTTATGTCAATAGAAATGTGCCAGGAATTATCATTTCACAAATTGGCTCATTTCTATCTCATACTAAAATGATCAGCAATCTGTTCTAATTTGCGTATTAGAATAGTCTAATTCATTCTCTTTTCCAAGTGTTTATCGAGCAAGTACCATGTTCCAGGACAATACCTGGGGCCAGGGCTGCAGAGATGAATAGAACATGAGTGCTGTCCCACGAGGGGCTCACGTTCTGGGAACACGGGCTGCTCCTCTAGAAACACACCAGCTACAACGAACACGCTTTGCTCTTCATATTTTAAACACAAAGAAAGAAAATAACGACTGAGATTCTCCTCTAACTTTTAAAAGCTTTTGGTCAGTGAGACATAAATCCCCTAGAATCGCATTATCAGTTATGAAACATGGAAGAACAATGGAGATCCTGGTAGAAAAGGGCGTGTTGACCACCGAGAAGCAGAACTTCCTCCTCTTTGACATGACGACACACCCCCTCACCAACAACAACATTAAGCAGCGCCTCATCAAGAAGGTCCAGGAGGCCGTCCTGGACAAGTGGGTGAACGACCCTCACCGCATGGACAAGCGCCTGCTGGCCCTCATTTACCTGGCCCACGCCTCGGACGTGCTGGAGAACGCATTCGCCCCCCTTCTGGACGAGCAGTACGACTTAGCCACCAAGAGGGTGCGGCAGCTCCTCGACTTGGACCCCGAGGTGGAGTGTCTGAAGGCCAGCACCAGCGAGGTCCTGTGGGCGGTGGTGGCGGCCTTTACCAAGTAGCCCCGCCCCGAGGGGCGTGTCCTCCTGTCTCTGTCCGCCGACTGCTTCTGTTCCACGGACTTCTAGTTTTCTGCAATTTGTACTCCCCTACACTAACATTGGCTTTTGTTTTATAAAATAATAGGAGGCTTTTTTAAATGTGTGTTTATATGTAGGTATCTGCTGGTATGTGTGGTTCAGAAAAAAGTGTTAACTGCTTATGGGCATTTCATTCCTTCCCGAGTTCAACAGACTTGCCCTTCTCACTCTAACAGGTTTTGGAATTCTACAATGTCCACTTTCAAACTCCTTCCAGTTCCAAACACACATCCTGAGTATGCACTCAGTTCCAAATTTTCATCAAGCATGAACTCTTCTATGGTCTTAAAAAATGGAGACAGAAATCAGGCACACGAAGCTTTTACTGAAAGCGAAAGGCTGTATCTAAGGGCATTTTATGATAGAGCTCAACAGGGATGCACACCGTGACATTTTTTCCTGGAATTATTCTAAGTGACTTAAGTCAGGCAGAAAAAGATAAATACTACAATACATGGCATCCCTCGTATGTGGGGTCTAAAAGAGTCAAAGCCATAGAGACTGGAATGGTGTTTGCCAGGGACTGGGGGCTGAGGGGAATAAGGAGATGGATGTTGGTTAAAGAGCACAAATTTCCAGGTATAAGGTGAATAAGTTTTGGGGACCTAATATTAGGACAGCGTGGTGATTACAGTTAATAACCCTGTGCTATATACTTTAAACTTACTGAGAGAATAGATCTTACATGTTCTTACCACAAAAAAGAAATGGTGATTATGTGACAGGATGAAGGTGTCAGCCAAAGCTAGGGTGGTAATCATTTTGCAATATATAAAGTGATTTTATATATAGATAAAAAGATATACTGCAAAGGTATACTGCAAGATATACAGGCTCTGGCACAAATAACGTCCCTTTTTATTACAAAATCTTTTATAAGCATGTAATTCTGTAACACAACAACATCACACTCAAGCACACCACATGACATTTTAGGTGAAATGTTCAAATTAAAATTTAAATTATTGCCCCCCTGTTATTACCCTAGCAACCACACTTGAGCAGGTGTTACTTCTGCTGGACCCTGTATTTTGACATATATGCTATATGTTATGTGTGTCAATTGTATCTTAATAAAGCTGGAAGAATTGCTTTGCACATCTCGGATTTGTATTTTCACTTTATTAAATCAGAACAGTAAACTGCTCCATAACGCTGCTCGGATTGAGCTACATCCCATTTCTGCAGTATGTAGTGTTGACTTCCAGTGGATTGCTCCTGGAATGGCTGTTGCCACAGTTTCGTCATAAATCTAGATAACTGCGAGGACCAGTCCTTTCTTCAAAACTGCGTTGGTGACTCTGAGCCCCTTGCTGCCCCGTGTGAAATTGAGGGACACACTGTCCAGCTCCCTGAAACACCCTGTGAGGGTTTTGATGGGTGTGACACTGACTGCACAGATTTATTTGATGGAACTGACATCTTTATGATACTGAGTCCTTTCATCCAGGAACACGGCACAACTTTCTGCGGTAAATTGAATACGGCCACAGAGTCTTTGCAGCTTCTGGGAAGAGGTGAAGCCTCTTTTCCGACTTCTTGAATCTGGGCTAGCTCTGCCCTTTGCTTTATCCAATAGGGTGTGGCCAGGGTAACATCTTGGAAGTCCCAGAGTCTGGGACACATAGCGCGATGTAGTGTATGCCTTCATGCTCTTGGAATGTTGCCTTGAGACCACCATGGCATAATGAAGCCCGGATGAAAGGACACATGGGACGAGAAGTGCAGCTGTCCCAGCACCATTCAGCACCCAGACAGCCTGACCTGCCGGCTGAGCCCAGCTGCACGTGTGAGCTTACGTGAAAGCAGCAGAGGGCTGCCTGGCCGACCCAGAATTTCAGGAAATGATGCACTCTTGTTGATTTAAGCCATTAAACTTGGGGGTGTTTTATTCCACAACAAAGGCTAGTTGAAGGAGAAAATGGTGCCTAAAAATGAAGTGCTCTGTAATCAAAACCTGATCCCTGTGACGTGGCCTTTGGACTGGCTAGTGGATTGAGGCTCCCGGGGCAGCAAGGAGGCTGCCAGTGGAAGTTGAAAAATTATGGGTTGGCAGGTGGGAACTACTACTGAAGTCTGGAAGGACAGTCAGTCATGTTCTGTGCTGGTGGAAAAAGTGTCAAAACTGTCGCCAATACCATGTGAACCAGAAGAAACACGTGGCCAACCCGTAGAATTGTGAGAAATATTGGATTATTATTCCATTAAGAGAATAAGTTTTGGGGTGGTTTTGTACAATAGACAATGAACTTGTGAACCTGGCTGTTAAGGACTGAATTGTGTCCCCTCAAAAGTGCATATGTTGAAGCTTGTCCCCCTAACATGTCTTCATTTCAAGATAGAGCCTGAGGGAGACAATGAAAGTTAAATGAGGTCATAAGAGCAGGGTCCTAATCTCATAGGACTGGTGTCCTTATAAAAGAAAGAGCACAAATAACCTGTCTGTTGACATTCTTGGGTTTTTTATATAGATGATATTATCCAGAAAGGATGATGTTCATTTCGAGCTATTATACTCAGTTTTTCCTGAGCTAAGTTGTCAGCATTTATTTTTTATTTAATTTTGGAATAGGTATTACATTTACATGCTTCAAGAAACAATAAAAAGTGTATCTATACATTTCCTGAGCTAAGTTGGCAGCATTTATACACTATGTATAGTGACATTTTGCTCTATCTTCATTTCTTTGTCTTCTCACAATGGCTAATACAGTATCAACCAATACAGAGATTAGCAGATGTCTCTGTCCTTCAGCTGCCTTTGATAAAAATGTTCCTAAAATTTGTCATTAAAATTGTGATGTTTTACCCCTGGCTGGTGGGGCTCAGTGGATTGAGTGCCTGCCTATGAACCAAGGGGTCACTGGTTCAGTTCCCAGCCAGGGCACATACCTGGGTTGTGGGCCAGGTCCCCAGTTGGGGGTGCACAAGAGGCAACCACACACTGACGTTTCTGTTCCCCTCTTTCTCCCTCCCTTCCCCTTTGTCTAAAAATAAACTTTTAAAAATTGTTATATTTTATATAGATTGTGGGAGAGATACTTAACCAGATTAAGGAAGTTAGCTTCTATCTTTAAATTGCTGAGAGCTTATCATGATTGAGAATGGAATTGTATCCCTTTTATTTTTGCCTTTTAATTTTGAGGTATAGCTTACACACTGTGAAAAGCAGAGATCATAGTGGTTACTTTAATGAGCCTTGACGCGCATACGCCACGTCACCCACAGCCCTCTCGTGCTGCAGAACATTCCCACAACCCTGGAAGACTCGCTCACACCCCTTCTCAGCAACACTCCTGAGCTGACCAAACTTTTGATTTTTCACATTAGGTTAAGTGATTGATAGTTTGTTTCTTCCTTTTTCTGTTCTCTCTCTCTCTCTCTCTTTTTTCTGAGTAGTGTCCCATTATCTGAACATCCTGCAATTTACTTAATGCTTGTCTTGTGGGACCATCTGGGCTGTTCCCAGCTTTGAGTCACCTAAAAGCTGCTGTAGACTTACTATGAAACCCCTGTGCACGTCTGCTCTGCAGGGCCATTGCATTTCCCGGGGGAGACACCTCTGCTTCTTGGCCGCATGGTAGGTACCTTGCCATACGTGGTCTCAGAGAGAGAATATGAGTTGGACTGGGGACAGGAGGAAAAATAGCCATCTTCCTTCTTGATCATCCTACGTAAATGAGGCAAAATCATAAGCCCCGATAACAGACCCAGACTTCCCAATCATCTTTCCAGTGCCTCGTTTTAAAATATTAACATCATCAAGGATCACAGATACCCATTGTGGTTTTTTTTTCCCCGTCAGCTTTGTTTCAGTCCTATTTCTCATTCTTGCCCCACAGTGTACACCCAATCTGTGGTTCCAAAGTTCTCTAGGGTTCTGCCCATCAAATATCTTCCTTCCCGGCCAGGTTTTCCCCTGGGAGCCCTTTAAGCTGTGCCTTTCTCTGTCTTTCTAATTAATTAGCACTCATCTTGCTAGTTTTTGTCAATTGAGGGCATCATTTAGGCTCACCTATTTTTCATTCATTAACTGTAAGTATAGAGAAGTCTCAAGAGAAGCAAAGAAAAAAAATTACCAAGTACAGATCAACTGTTTTTAATGAAAACTGTGTAAGCCTAGTAAGTTCTTTTTGAAGAGGGTCAAAATCATCGTAAGACTGTAGTCAAATCAAAGGGAAATACTTTACAATAATGTAAGAAAGCAATGTTCCATATGAAATTATATACAAATTATTGATTCTGGCTATCCCACCTGCTAGCTATATGATTTGGGGGAAATTATTTGAGCTCTCAGAGACTCAGTATTCTCTTGTCTAAAATGGAATTAATAAAACCTTCAAATTAAGAGTTATAAACACATACAATAAATATGAAGTTCAATTAATATAAATTCTATTTTTCATTTGAAATGAATAAATAAAAGATGGAAATTAGTGAAATGTTCATCAAAATTGGTCTTTGTTAAAAGCAAAGCTGAAAAGTTAGTGACATCTCAGTAGAGGATCTATAGCAAAGAGAAGAGCATTTCTGATGTATTTTAGTCTATTATCTGGCTAAATCTTGTCTTTAAAAACCATACTGCTTCTTTCTCTTCTCTAAGCATTTTCTCCTCCCTTCTTTCTGCCTTGTAAGCCCTACCTGTCTGAAAATAAGTCAGGTGAAGTATGTCAGCCATGGTCTCATCAGGAAGCTGACTGACTTCACTTCAGCTAGTTCCGAAGATAAGACTTTAATAAGGGAATTCCTTCAGAGCTGTAGATAAGGGGATGAACAACAGATACCGAGGCATGTACAGGCAAGCAGTAGAAGGCAGCCATTACCACACCAAGGGCAAGAGGGACAAAGAAGAGGAACAGAATTCCTGGAGCCCAGAAAAGTGAGATGGGGAGGAGCAGCCATCTAGCAGAATCTCTAATTGTGGTGGGAGGCAGCCACCGCCTGAGGCTTAGCAACACAGGAGGGAAGGGAGGAAGCAGTTTCCTGGTATCCCTTTCTCCTCCCTCCACCAGGACCCTTTTCAGGCTGCTGGAAGCCAGTTGTCAAGGGCG